GTGAAACGCTCGTCTTGCGAAACGCAGTTAATTAAACTGCATCAGTTCACTGATTGGCTACAGGCGACTGAGGGCCCACGCCTTGGGAGCAAGACTCAACGGTGGACGCAGGCATACACACACACGCACACTGAGCGGAAGCTCGTCACTAGAAAAAAATGTTTGTGCGAGTGGCTCGCTCGTTACCTAAAATGCTCGTAGATGAGACTGTTCGTCACCTGAGGCTTCACTATATTCCTGATCGCAGCTGACAGGGCTCGATTTTATGACTTAAGCAGTAGTACGTTGGGTTCATTTCCTCGATGGCCAACTAGTTGTGGATTAAAACGGCCGGTTTTTATGTCCTACAATTGAGGGTTGGGATGCCTTACGACGACAATCAAGCCAAAGGTAGTCATTCCTGCCCACGTCATCCGTGTGGGTACTTTTTCTGTTTGGTTACTTGCCGAATCAGCCTAGTCTGCGTTTATTGCCAGTTGCTTAATTAACCTGAAAAACTTGCCGGCTCCCGGTGGTTACGCTAACCAGCTAACAATCTTTCTTTTTTCCATGCACGTTTTGCCCTCTCAGGCAGCGGACTGCACCTTCGCTGTCTACGTCTCAGACTGCTGACCCGAGCACTCGCTGTACATTCCGAAGGAGTCTGATTTTGGAACCAGGTACTCTTGACGCAATAACCCAGGACCTTGCGGAGTCTCAGACGGAAACCTACGACATGGGTCGCCGCAAGAGTCTCGATGACAGCTCCATAGATTCTCGCGCGCCATCAGCTGAACGGTCTCTGTCCTACATGTCAGTCATTCACCTTGTTCCTTTCTTCTTCATTCAATGCGCTATCATAATTCGGGTCTTTATACAGAGCTCCAAAGCTCAACGCTAGGCTGTTTGTTTGCACCTCAGATATGTTGACCAGAGAATTGTTGCATAAATACTAATACTGGACTGCTTTAGGTGAGTATTTCGTCAAATTAAAGCAGCCGGGATTATCGCAGCGCGTTGATGTTCAGGTATTAATACGTATTGTTAGGGGGGTTTGGAAGATTTGACTAATTCGGTAAACCCAATTGTTAAACTTTTGCGGCCTCGATGGGAGTCGAACCCGCACAGCAGGGAAGACTTTTGTGCAGTCTAGGCTCTACTGCTCCCTGCTGTGTGGGTTCGACTTCCACCGAGGCCGCGAGTTTTCTCACAATTAGGTCAACTGAATTAATACTTATGCCTGACACAACTGGCAATGTGTGGCCTAGATGGCTTCGAGGATGTAAAGGTACGGTTTTTAATCACAGAAAGCATAATTAATGACAAGAAGGAATGCATTAACTGATTGAAGTTTCGAGCAGCCG